GAAATAAAGTGTGAGAAAATCTAACCAGTTTTCAATTGGTGAACTTTTTAACTATACCCTGAAATTGTCTTCAACTACTGAACTGACCTTGTAGGTTGGTGTTTGAACATGTAACTAATTTGTAGCTTAACACACTCAGCTGCTAACCAAAAAGGTATGCAGAAGTACTACAGAAGAGGGGCCTGGAAATAAACTTCTGAAAAGTCAACCATTAAAAACCTTACAGAGTACAGTTTTATTCTGACACCCTTTGGATTGCCATGAGTCATAATGCGAGCAATTAGTAGTGGTGGCAGTTTAGAGAACTTATCTTTAGAGAACTCTCAAGATGTCTTTAAGCTTTGGATATCTGGACTGCCTCAAGTTTGCTGCCATGTTGCGCCTGTGCTATTTATTTTTCAATTTACATGACAACTGCTACTTTTGTAGTATATTTATCTGTTACTTTCCAAAGCACTTACCACTTAATTTGGGGGCGTGGGAGCTATTGGTACTTGTGCTATTTATTTAGTACTCTCATAGATAACTTGACCACATTTCTTACATACTTGTTTAATTTCCAAGGAATAAAATTGATTAGTGCTACAAAAAGATACATCATTTACTCAAAAGGGTCTTATGAGAAAAATTATGTTCAGATATAAAATAACATTACGTGGTCATCAGATATCTTTATGGTCTTAAAAAGAATAAGTTAGATTTTTAATAAAATATTTTATTAATATCTTTGTTGTAATCACTCATTTTTGATAAATTAACTAACTAGTTATGTTTTTTGAAAGAAAAAGTGAGAAAAGGAGGGCGAAGACTTTACTATAACTTAAAATGGCAGAATGAGGCGAGTAGAGTTTTAATTTGGGGTTTGAAATGTGTCATTAAAATTCGTTTTCCTTTTCATTGTTAAATCTGATAGCCCATATTTGAAAGCAAGACAAAAATGTACCCGATTTCTAGCAGCTTACCTATTTTTTTATTTGCATATCTTGCCAAATTCTTTAAATCTTATCTACAACCATTCTTTTTGTTTCCTCTATATGTTTACATTTTTTAAAAGCAGTACTTAAGTTTCATATAAAAACATTTATTTTTCAAAAGCAAAATAGTATACAGTGAAGTTGCCTTTCTACCCCTTCCCCATATGTTCTCTTCTTAGTACATGCCACCATGAACACAAATATGTAGCTTTTATTTTAAGCTAACTTTTTAATGTCTTAACATTTGGGGGTTGGTATTTTTTTTCCCCCGGATTTCCTTATTTTATACATGTACAGCAAATACACATAAAAAAAATCTCTTAGGACACAGAGAGCCTCTTCATTCTTTATGGAGGCTTTACCAGGTGTTAGTCTTTTTCTGTAGCTTTATCAATCTGAGGTGTACTGTCTCTTTTGAGTGACTGACACTATTCTCAGGCCTTACCAGATCTTGCACTTCTGTGCACATGTGCTTATGTACACATCTGAATAAAATGTAGAAAGAGGAGCTGGGATTATCGAGAACCAATAAAGACCCCTTTCAAATACATGAGACAAGAATAAACCAAATTTCTGCGTTGTCCCCTTAACTATGTCTAGGGTGTCAACCTTCTACCTGAAAAAATTCAAATGTGTGTACTATCTATACCTTCTCAAAATGAAAATGGCAAAATGTGAACTTATTGTGGTCATGTAGTCTTAATCATCCTGGTCTACACCACACCCACTGCCCATCAAGTTGATTCTGACTATGACCCTGCAGGACAGAGTAAAACTGCTCCTTTGGGTTTCCAAGAGTAAATTTTGGGTGGTAGATCGGCTTGTCTTTCTCCATTTGAACTGCGGTTGATCAGCAGCCAATACGTAAACTGCTGTGCAACCAGGATGTTTTGGTCTGCATGATGACTGGCAAATGTTGTTATATGAATGTGCCACTCTTTCTGGCTGGCTCTTTATTTTGCTGTTTTCCTTTCCTTCTTCCAAAGCCTAGCTCTGTATTCTTGAAAGTTCCCTTACTGGCTCTTGATTATTTTCATGGCTCACAGAGAACTTGGCTGCTCAGAAATTTTCAGCTGTTAACATTCATATGGATAATTACACTCCCAGGTTGTTGTTTTTTTTATTTGCTATATGAGGGAGTACCCAAAAAAACCCTTCTCACCTTTAAAGTACTCTCCATTACACTTAGTACATTTGTCAAATCGGCTATTCCATTCTTGGATATATTTTTCAAACTCATCTGTTTGGGTTGCTGAAAGCACCTCCCTCCTTTTTTTCTTCATTTCTTCTATGTATTCAAATCGCTGTCATTTCATGTTCCTTTTCATTCAAAGAAACAGAAAGAAGGCACACGGAGTGAGGTCAGGTGTGTAAGGTGTATGGGGCAAGAGAGGCATGCTATTATTTTCCAAGAACTGGCTCACTGGGATGGCTGCATGAGCAGGTGCATGGCCGTAGTGGCAAAACCAGCCCCCCTTCTGCCACCAGTCAGGCCTTTTTTGTTGCACACTGTTCAATCCTTTTAGAACCTTTAAATACAAAGCTTGATTAACAGTCTAGCCTGGTGGAACAAACTCCAAATGTACTACAAGTTGACATTTTCATCCATTCAAGAAGTTGACCCGTCTAGAACAAGATTTGTCTTCAATCGACATTTCACCTTTTTTTTAATGAGAAAACCACTCATGCATTTGGGCTTTTCACATAGCACTGTCTTTGTAAGCTGTGTTCAACATCACACCCGTTTCTGTGGCATTTTTTCCAAGCAGGAAACAAAATTTCACAGCCCCACACTGTTCTCTTAAATTAGCCATTACAAAAAAAAAAAACAAGATTTGACTGAAACTGCTTTTATGAAAAAAATTCACTATGACCCTGAGACCCTTCCCAGGCAACACCACTAGTTGCACCAAGTCAGAGCAAGTTGCTGGATGCTGGCCTAGTGGGAAAAATACGTACTATGAAAACTACACTCTGCCCAGCACAATTCCAGTACTCTTGGGGTACCCCCTCATATGGGCTAGGTATGCTTATATTTTTATTTTAATCTTCATTATAAGATCATGTGAAACCCATTTTAAACATGAAGAAACTTGGGTACAGAGTGATCACACAATTAGAGACAATTAACTAGTAACAACAACTGTAGTTAGTAGAAGCATAACATGAAGTCACGGTGTTCAAAATGAAGAAGGAATTTATTAGGAAGCGTGAATTCTAACCTGGGTTTTGCCATGGGTCACTCTGATATTATGCTGTTTACCGTGCTTACATTTCTTCATCTGGAAAATAAGGAAATTGAACTAGATAGTCACAGGCCTTCTCCCTAGTCAGTTCAGGCTTAGGATATATATCCAGAGTATTGCTTATAATGTAGGATTGGTCATCCAGTTTCTTCTTTACTTCTAAGAGCCAGGCCTGTGTCTTTTCCATTGAGAGAAATTAATGATCCTGCTCTTTGCAGCTTCTAATTTGTTGGATTTGGGTACCAAATCAGGAGCCCGGGTGGTATAGTTGGCTACACGTTGGGCTGCTAACTAACCTAAAAGTCACCAGTTTAGAACCATCAGCTTCTCTATGACGTTTTCTACGCCCATGAAGATTTGCAACCTCAAGGACCTACAGGGGCGGTTTTATTATGTCCTTGAGGGTCCTCGCTATGAGTCAGAAATTTCTTGATGGCAGTGAGTTTGGTTTTGGATAGCAAAATTAGTGCATTTATTTAGGAGGTAGATATTTTTTAATCCCTCACATTATTTAATGTACTTTTTGTTTTAGTAAATAGATTTGCATCTTTTAAGGATAATTACTGCCCATTGATTTTTAAATGACTACAGCTGATTTTTTTTTTAATGTATTTCTTCTTTGAACTGTTAGGTATGACGCAGGAAGACATGGATTGGTTCATTTTATTAATTTTTTCCCGAAGTCTATAGCCCTTGAGTCATTATGTGCAATAACTTTATAGTACTAATTGGTTTTTATTCATAGCTAGATAACTATTTAAGGAGCGGAGCCCTGGTGGCATGAGGGGGTTACATATTGGTTTGCTAGCTACAAGGTCAGCACTTCATTCAACACCACCACTGGGTTCACTGGCGAAAAAGACGAGGCTTTCCGCTTCTATATAAAGATTTACAGCCTCAGAAACCCACTTCTATGAAGATTTACAGCCTGTTTTACTCTGTCCTGTAGGGTGGATATGAGTGGAACCAACCCAGTGGCGGTGGATATGACGATTTTATTGTTAGAAAACTAGTTGGATATTGTTACATTACATTGTGATATAATGCATTCATTGCATGTGATGAAGCAAAGAGGGTCTGAGTTCTTGTTTCTTTGCATCTTGAATGTGACGAAGACTTGGAATAGTCTATTTTATCTCAGTATGTTTAATGTTATTTTTATATATAAACTATTTAGTAGTTTAAACACACTCTAAGTGGGGTCTGGTTTTTACCTTGGATATGCTCTGTATAAAGGTGACTTTTATAGTCTGTGTATAAAATAGTGTTTCTTTTGGTTTTAATAGAAAGGACTAATTATTGGATAATTACAAATGAACAAAAAGTATAATTTTGGCTGTGGATTAAGGGTAATTTATTAACAGAGAGTATAAACATTGAAGTCCTAGTTTTTTTCATTGTTATTCAATTTGGACTATAAATGATCATTATTTTGGGAGATTTATTAAAAACTTTATGTAAACTATTTCAATTTACTTTTTTTCTTCTTGTTGCAGGAGCTAGAGTTAATGCCAAAGACAGCAAATGGTTGACACCTTTACACAGAGCAGTTGCATCTTGTAGTGAGGTATGGATTTTTTTAGTCAATATATTATCTTTTTAAACATCAAGTAAATAGGTCTGGTTATGAGCCCACATTAAAAATGTGTGTTTTCCAAAGAAGAAAAAAATGATTGAAAGACTGCTTATTTTACTTTAGAATTTGTATAAGTCAAGTTCTTTGTCCCATCTCATCTTTTTTAACTACCAAGTAAGGCCTCTTGGAGAGTTGGAAGTGAGAGTAGAAAAACCTTGTAGCTCTGCTACAAGAGAGAAATTATTTTTCTAGCTTAGAAAATCCTCCTCAAAGCATTTTCCTACTGGTTCATAATAGCCTAATAGGCATGTTCCAAAGGTTTGGCTGGTAGTTATCAAGAAATCTCAGCAGTCCATACTGATTCATTGAAATATTAATAATTAGTTAAACATTGAAAATTATTTTTAAGACATTACTTGATTGCAAATATAAGCAGTTTTGAGTATATAACCGTAAATAGCATGTTAGATATCACATGAGGACAAACATTTGAAGCTCTATATATTGTTTGCTGTTAGAATTAGAGCAATATTGTGAGATATTCAAGATATCTCACATTTTTTGAGAATTTTAGTTATTTGCTATTTCTAGATTTTCATATCTTTTAGTCCTCAGGGCAGTGGGCGAGAGTCCTCATGGCTTCTATGTAAGATAGGTATTATTTATTATGTAGATGAGAAGACAGTGTAGTTAAATTATTTCTCCAGAATTCTCTCAGCTATTGAGTGGTAGAGATAGGACAAGAACTCAGACCCTCTTTTTACCCTGACCACCCTCTATTGCCATTCTATACTGTGTTGAATTCTTTCCTAAAAGTGCATTGTGCCCAAAACACGCCTTTTATTTATAATAGTTAGTGTTTGTTGAAAAAAGTTTAAGCACCTTAAAATATAATGTGTTATGTGAAGGAATGTAGTGTTTCTTTAGTTATTCAAATTTGAGAGATAGAAAAGTTCTGGGGAAGGAGAGGGACTCTAACCTCAGGAAATTCTCCCCACCCCAAGAGAACTAGAGGAGCCTTCCTCCTCTTTATTCTCCAGTATAATTTATGAATTATTTCTTAAACCTAGACCAAGAAGTGAGTGGAGAGAAGTAGGATGAAAAAGTAACTGAGAAGGATTGCAACTCCTGCAGGACAATGTAACAAGAATCAATCTGTTGACTGTAGCCTCCTAGTGGGGAAAAGGATTGGTAGAATAGGGGGAACACTAAACACACGTCTTAACTGGATTCTGAGTCTGTAAGGCCCCAGGCACTGTCTGCTTTCTTCTCCATGCTTTGCTGTAGCACCTGTATCTTCAGGGATCACTTCATGGGAGTCACACATTTAGCAGAGCCATGTCATAAGAACTCATTCTTAAATTACGGCTATGATTAAGAACAAGTTCAGAATCCATTCGTACCGTATATCTATGGTTTATTTTTTGAAACATCAGTATTGTTTTGTTGAAGAACATTATAAATTATCCCCATGAAGCATATGGTAGTTCTGTTGATATTAATTTAGCTGATGGTACAGAATTTAAAACATTTTCAAGAAAAAATGTGTTAAAAGACTTTTTTAGAACAAAATGCAAAGGGGCAAATTTTTCAAAAATGTTTATTCATAAAGGTAGAATTGGACTAACCAGGTCATAAACAGACAAAGAAAGTATGAAAATTGCACATAAATAGTAGTCTTGAATTTCCATTTATTGGGCATCTTCACGGCATGAATTTTGAACTGAAGTCCAATGACTTCCTCATCCATAGCCTTGGCTTAGTAGTCATCTGTTTCTCACACTAAGACATATCAGCCTTAAGCCCATGGTAATATTTCAGTTCCTTTTTATCTGCTGACAGTGTTTTTAAGGTAAAGTCCAGTTCACTTATTGGGAATTCCAAATCAGTTCCTTCTGATGTGGCCTATGAAGGATTTTATGTACCTTGAAAAGATAGTCTAAAGTCTTGGTTGTCAATAACACATAGGTTGGGTCACCAAGGGTTGAATACGATCTAGGTCTTAAGTGCCCAATTAGGCAAATGATATCAAGCTTACTCTCCCACTGGTGATCTATATACTTAATATGTTGAGTGTTTTTCCCAGTAACAGGCTTCCCACTGATCAACTCAGGCACCTTCTCAAAGACAGACATGCCTACTCCCCTCTACCTCTTGACTTGGGTTTTCCAGTAAGGTTCATTAATTGCTTTTGTAGAAGTGTCCATTGATTTAGGGGACTATAGAATGTTATATAGCAGGAACTGGTTGGTCTTTTCCTTCTCCTTGCATCCTGGCGGCTTGACTCAATAGAGATGAAAACCTCCTGTGTCAAAGTAGGGTTTTTTAAATGTACAAATAAAGGAGGAGTGCTATATGGTTTCTGAACACCAGGCAGGCACGCTATCTTGTTGCCTGAGAAACTGGACTAGAAGATTAGACAAGCCTACCTTTTTCTTGGTGTTTATTTTTATATTAGAGATCACTGAATTTTACGTCATTCTTTGTGTTCTGGCATGTGTTATTTCAGAATAATTATACATAATAAATAATGGGCCCAGAGTCTAAAACTGATCTGTCTTGATTCTAAAATTAGTTTGCTTTCCTTAAGTGCCATAATTTCTACCCTATCAGTAAACTAGATTGTTCTTGCTTTGTGGTGGTGCAAAAGAAAGAAAGATTTGTGTTTTCCTGTTCTTTCTTGATGGTCTGATTTTGTACTGCAAATTCCAAGCTACCAATGAAGAAGAAAAGGTGATGTCTGTTAAGCTGTGTTTGTCCAATTTATCTGATTATAAATTTAAATTTTTTAGAGAAATTCACTAACATGGCTACTAAAGTTTCTCACTATAGTCGTCAATTTTAGCACCTCCAACCAAGTCAAACTATAGTGCAAAGGATCCTGATAGTGTTTCTAACCATGTTTTCCTATGAGTACATATACCCTAAGGATATACTCTGTATTATCCTCTAATTAGCATACAGATTTCCATAACACTAGAAATCCCTTTGTATCCCCACTTACCTCTCTATCTGCAGAACACCCTGTGTTCTGATTTATCTCAACGAAGAGTACTTGGTCCTTTTCTAGGACTTTATAAAAATCATAGTGCATGTTCTCTTTTCGTGGCTTGACTTAATTTGTCTAACATTAACATTTTTGAGGTTCGTGCTTGTTTTGTCCATCCATGGTTCATTCCATATTTTCAGTAGTATTCAACTGTGTCATTTTACCACAGTTTTCTTCTTTTTTATCCTATCGATAGACATTTGTATTTTGGCTCTTATGAGCAAAGATGATATGAACATTCTTGGTTGGTTTTGTTTGACTCTTTTGTTCTTGGGTAAATAAGGAACCCTGGTAGGACAAGAATTATAGCACTGACCTGCCAACCAAGAGGTCAGCAGTTTGAACCCATCATCTACTCCACAAGATAAAAATGTGGCATCTTCTTCCATAAAATTTAGACCTTAGGGAGTGCTGTGGGACTGTTCTACTCCGTCCTATAGGATTGAACTGAGTCATAATCTTTTAGAGGACAGTGGGTTGGGTTTGAGTTTAGGTACATCATTGGAATAAAATTAATTGTGAGTTCATAGAGTAGGCTACCATATAGCTTTCATTAAGCAATCTAACCTTGCTAACAGGTTGGTAAAAACACTGTTATACACTTACACAGTTTCCATATTTCAAATAGTTTACAAGTTTTTTTACTTCAAAGACTTGAAAAGTTGTGGGTAAATCACTAATAATAGTAGTTGCTTAGTCCCTCTGTATACTCTTCATATTTATGGTCACTTACATTTTATAGTATTTTTCATGTATATTCGTTTATTCTGACTTATACAAGCAGCCTTGCGAAATTGGTGTGGTTTTTGTGCTCTTTTTGGTTAAGAAAAAGAAAAGCCAATTTTATAATTGAATAGTTTACCTTGTAAACCAAGAACCCGGAATCTGTGGTTCTATTCTGGTTCTTTGTGTTTGTGTTCATTCATATGCCAAGGATAGGATTACTGGTTTAAGGAGAAATTTTTTGTTTAGTTCTGATTTGATTGCTAAATGCTGATGGCAGACTGAATTCTTTAGCATGCTGACGCGAGTCAAATTTATATTTGTGTTGTGGAATTTTCTGTGTGCTTTTGGGAGAAAACATCCTTTTGGAATAATTGCTTAAATTGCTTTAGTACTTACTTTTTTGTTAGCTAGTAAAACAAAAAAATCGTAGTTTGCCTAGTCTAATGAACTAGACCCTAGTGATTTCTGAATTAATTGTAAAATTAAATGTATGTTATTTATTTAGAAAAAATAAATATTTTTTAGGAATATTTGTTAGTATTGTTCATTTTGATAAGGGTTGTTATACTTTATTATAATAGAGAATTGGAAAAGGGAATGTTCTATTATGCATCTCAAATAATTGAACATTACACTTAGGTAAATGCAATGTTATCTTTGGCATTTTGTACTTTTTTACACCTAGTTCTACCAGTACTTTTATTTCCTCAGGAAAATGTTCGTGTGTGTGTGTGTGTGTGTGTGTGTGTGTGTGTGTGTGTGTGTGTGTAAAATTTCTAAAACTATTGTGTGTTTTTATAACCAATACCTTCATATGTTTTCAGGAAGCAGTTCAGGTACTTTTGAAGCATTCTGCAGATGTTAATGCTCGAGACAAGAACTGGCAGACCCCTTTACACATAGCTGCTGCTAATAAAGCTGTAAAGTGTGCTGAAGCTTTGGTACCTCTTTTGAGTAATGTAAACGTATCTGATCGGGCAGGGAGAACTGCACTACATCATGCAGCTTTCAGCGGACATGGTGAGGTAGGTGGTATTCAATTGAAAGTGATTCTCTCTCCATGTCTCCCTCCTTCCTTCCAGTTATTAATGAACTTGCCTTTTTAAAGCATTCCTTAGTCCATGGTTAAAGCAAACAAAAAACCTTTTTCTCACTTTGCCTTTTCTTGAGCAAACTTCCAGATTGATCATGACAATTCAGAATATAACCTATTAAGTTTATAAATTTTTTAGCAGATGCTTTCCCCACACTTGGATTTCATAGTCTAACTGGGGAGATAAAGTGTAACATTCATGAGAAGTATGTTCTGTCGTGATGAGGGGAACCAAATCCGATTGCACTTCCAGAAAGATGGTATTAAAAGAAGCTAAAGTTT